GACCTTGACCTTGGAGATTTACATCCTTATGAAAAACTTTAACCTTGACCATAACTTTTGAACGGTGAGGGCTAGGGCTTTCGTACTTCACATATGTAATTCTTTTGAAAGACCTTTTATTGGATACCAACAACTTTGCCCTTTGACCTTGACATTGGAGTTTTAACTAATTTTTTTAAAAAAAAAATTAACTTTGGTCACAACTTTTGAACGGTAGATACTTGGTCTTTTATATTTCACATATGTATTCTTTGTGGCAAGTCCTTTCATTGGATATCATCAACTTTGACCTTTTGACCTTGACCTTAAAGATTTACGTACTTATGAAAAAACTTTAACCTTGACCATAACTTTTGAACAGTAAGGGCGAGGGCTTTCATACTTCACATAGGTAATCCTTGTGAGAAAACCTTTCATTGGATATCAACAACTTTGACCCTTTGATCTTGACCTTGGAGTTGACCTACTTTTAAAACTTTTTATTTTGGCCACAACTTTTTAACGGTCAGGATTAGGGTTTTCATCTTTAAAAAAAAATCAATTTCAATGTTACTTTCGAAATAAATGACATAGGATGTTCATATTACACACAATATGTCATAAAAAATAACATCTCACCCACAAAGACACAGAAAGCGGGGGACCACAATTCTTTGAATTTGCTTGTTTCTTATATTTATTATTTTTATTTGATTTTTTTTTTTATCATATCCTATGGTTTTCTATGCTTTTTATCCAGTGTGAGACTGTACTGTGAATATTTAACAATTCCTATATATATATAATTTAAGAAAAATCCAGTGTTTTGGTACAGTAAAATATATCCAATGAAAAAAAGTCAGAAATCACAAATCTCGAAAATCATTTTTACTGTTAGCGCTTTCTGCCTAATGGCTCTTCAGACAGTTAAAAGTTAAATATAAAATTGCTTAGTAACGTTCATAAGCACGACGTCAAGTATTGTCCATTGTGACGTCATAATAACGTTAAAAGGTAGCATTATAATTCGCACCGTTACAATCACTTAAATAAACCAAAAAACAAGTAGAAAATAACTTAAATAGTTAAAACTGAAGTAATTATTTTCTGTTAAGTTTTGGGTTAAATAGTTTAATGAAGTAGTCCTCCTTTGCTACTCTGGATATTTCACAGTCATTGTGCATTTTATAAAATGGAAATAATTTTAAATTTCCCTTTCCCACAGGTAGCAAAGTGCTCACTGCACGGCGTATTCCTTACGCTAGGGTCCCGAATTTGTTGTTTATGGACTCGCACTCGTGCGTTCAGTTTGCCGGTTTGTCCTATGTAGTTTTCATCACAGGTCGGACAGGTTATGCAGTAAATAACATTTTCTGATTTACAGGTCATGTTGGCGTTTGGTGTTAATTTTTTACCACATTTTAAAGTTTTTTCGCTTCCCTCCTCCAGATATTCACATGTTCCACAACGTGGGTCACAGCACTTTTTGACGACTTTGTCATTGATTGTTGCAAATCTTATATATATAAGATATTCTTCATCGAGTCTTTCTACTATTTTTTAAATCACTTTTAATTCAGTGAATAGTGAATACGGAAAGGTAGATGGTTTGCATATGGCCTCTAAGCATTTCTTTAACTACTTTTATCAAAAAATAAAAAATAAAATCAACCTTGGGCAACAACAAGTTTTACCTGGCTAAAGCTAAATGTACGGGGAAAGTCACAGAAAAGCAAAATTTATACTCTTCTTATAAGTTTTAAGAATAAAATTTACTTCGCAAAACTGCAAAGATATGTGTCGATCAAACGTGTCCCGAAATGAACTTTGAACATATTTTATTGTAGCTGCAGGTCTGTAGCATTATGGTTTTTTGTCCCCCGCTTTCGCAAAAGCGAGGGGACATTAAATCTCATTCGTCTGTCTGTCCGTCCGTCTGTCCGTCAGTCTGTCAGTCTGTCCGTCACAAAAACTTTAACCTTGCCCATAACTTTTGATTTAGTGGAGCTATGACTTTCATATTTCACAAGTGTATTCCTTGTGACTTGTCCCCCGCTTTCGCGAAAGCGAGGGGACATTAAATCTCATTCGTCTGTCCGTCTGTCCGTCAGTCTGTCAGTCTGTCCGTCACAAAAACTTTAACCTTGCCCATAACTTTTGATTTAGTGGAGCTATGACTTTCACATTTCACAAGTGTATTCCTTGTGACAAGACCTTTCTTTGGGTACCAAAAATTTGACCTTTTGACCTTGACCTTGGAGTTTGACCCACTTTTACACAAAAATTCTAAACTTTTACGTTGACCATAACTTTTGAATAGTAGGTACTAGGACTTTCATATTTCACATATGTATTGTTTGTGGCAAGATCTTTCATTGGATAACAACAACTTTGACCTTTTGACCTTGACCTTGGAGACTTACGTACTTATGAAAAAAATTAAACCTTGACCATAACTTTTGAACGGCAATGGCTAGGACTTTCGTACTTCACATATGTAATCCTTGTGAGAAGACCTTTCATTGGATACCAATAACTTTTGCCCTTTGACCTTGACCTTGGAGTTTTAATTACATTTTAAAAACTTTAACGTTGGTTACAACTTTTAAACAGTAGATAGAAGGACGTTTATATTTCACATATGTATTCCTTGTGGCAAGATTTTCATTGGATACCAACAACCTTGACATTTTGACCTTGACCTTGGAGATTTATGTACTTATGAAAAAACTTTAACCTTGACCATAACTTTTGAACGGTGAGGACTAGGGCTTTTGTACTTCACATATGTAATCCTTTTGAGAAGACCTTTCATTGGATACCAATAACTTTTACCCTTTGACCTTGACCTTGGAGTTTTAACTACTTTTTAAAAATACTTAAACTTTGGTCACAACTTTTGAACGGTTTAGGACTTTTATATTTTACATATGTATTCTTTGTGGCAAGTCCTTTCATTGGATATCAACAACTTTGACCTTTTGACCTTGACCTTAAAGATTTACGTACTTATGAAAAAACTTTAACCTTGACCATAACTTTTGAACGGTGAGGACGAAGGCTTTCGTACTTCAAATATGTAATCCTTGTGAGAAGACCTTTCATTGGATACCAATAACTTTTGCCCTTTGACCTTGACCTTGGAGTTTTAATTACATTTTAAAACATTTAACGTTGGTTACAACTTTTAAACAGTAGATACTAGGACTTTTATATTTCACATATGTATTCCTTGTGGCAAGACATTTCATTGGATACCAACAACCTTGACCTTTTGACCTTGACCTTGGAGATTTATGTACTTATGAAAAAACTTTAACCTTGACCATAACTTTTGAACGGTGAGGACTAGGGCTTTTGTGCTTCACATATGTAATCCTTTTGAGAAGACCTTTCATTGGATACCAATAACTTTTACCCTTTGACCTTGACCTTGGAGTTTTAACTATATTTTTAAAAATACTTAAACTTTGGTCACAACTTTTGAACGGTAGATACTAGGATTTTATATTTCACATATATATTGTTTGTGGCAAGGCCTTTTATTGGGTACATATAAATTTGACCTTTTGACCTTGACCTTGGTGATTTCCGTGCTTATGAAAAAACTTTAACTTTGGCCATAACTTTTGAACAATAAGGGCTAGGGCTTTCATACTTCACATATGTAATGCTTGTGACAAGAGCTTTCATTGGATATCAACAACTTTGACCGTTTGATCTTGACCTTGGAGTTGACTTTTTAAAAAACTTTTTACTTTGGTCATAACTTTTTAACGGTCAGGATTATTTTCATCCTTCAAAAAAATCAACTTCAGAGTTACTTTCTAAATAAATGACATATGATAGGATGTTCATATTACACACAATATGTCATAAAAATAACATCTCACCCACAAAGACACCGAAAGCGGGGGACCACAATTCTTTGAATTTGCTTGTATATATTTGTCTTTGACCATAACGCTACAATCCATTACAGTGTGTGCAATTTAAAGATTTTTTGCACACTTTCCGGGCGAATTTCTCCACTTTCTAGCATTGGTCAATCAACTACCTTTCACTCCCTAATTCTAGGCACCTTAATTAACTAATATGTATATTTTATAAATCTACAAACCCATAATAGTAGTCTCGACAAGTGATAAACTCGCTTGATTAAAATTATTTGTTAGATTGCTGTAAATTCACTTCAAGGGAGTCTATTGCCTGTAGAGACCACTATAACTGGTTGGCAGGTGGATGAAATATACATATTGGCTACAGAATATATCTAGAATTGGGGAGTGAAAGGTATAGTTGATTGACCAATGCTAGAAAGTGGAGAAATTCTCCCCAAAAGTGGTCAAAAAATATTGCGCCGTAAATTGCACCTTTTTTGCAATTTTACGGGATCTATAGCGTTATGGTCAAAGACAAATATATAAAAACCATAACGCTACAGACCTGCAGCTAATTTTATTGTTTAATTAACACAAAATAATAAGAAACAAGTTCTTACAACTTAAGTTCTTCTCTCGAAATTCGTACTTTAAATAATTTTCCACATAAAAGAATTTTCCAAACACGCCTTGATTGAACATATTTATTGTAATATATATTTACAATGAGATTGGACACTATAGTTCTTTCAATTTATTTCCCCCTCTCCCTATGTACAAGAGAAGTTTATAAATTTTGAGTTACATGTGTTAAACAGTTGTATCATAATAGAAATTAAGTTTCTATCTCAATTTAATAAATCGGGGTTTCGTGTACTTATTTAATTTGGTTTTTGTAAAAGAAAAAATGAATTTAAATTGTACGGATATTTCAATATATGATATTTTGTTAAATTGATTAATTTTAATTGAGTGGGTTTTCCTCACACCCCCTTCTAACACTTGAAAAGCTATTATTGACAATATTCAGACTATTATTGTTGTACAGAAACAAACAAACAAAACTTTCCTAAGTGGCATGATACTAAGTACCAAGCTCTCATGATTAGGAAAACCCATCTTGTGATCAATTTCATTCATATTAAAAATGCTACAACAGCACTCTTACAATTGTATTTCAATGTATCATCGGATGTCAAAGTATATGTAAGTGATATCTTGTATTATTGTATTTGATAAAGTAACGTATGTTTTTATTTGTTGTTCACCGCTTTCAAAAAGTGGGGATATTAATTTCGGTCTGTCTGTCCGTTCTCCGTCTGTTTTTTCTGTCTGTACATTTTCGCTTCCACGCGGTATCTCGAGAAGCTCTTGAGCTTCTGCAATGAAACTTGAAGCAACAACTCCCTATAGTCTAAGAAAAACACCTATTAATTTTGAGGTTCAAAGTTTATGGTCTTATATTCATCAATACTGTATATTTCCGCTCGATATCTCGATATAAGCTTTTTGAGCTTTTACATTGAAATTTTCTACTATAATTCCTATGGCTTAAGAAAGACCCCTATTCATTTTTTTTAGGTTAAAAAGTAAAAGGTCAATGTCGTAAATTAATACATTCTGTGTGTGTAAAACTTTCGTTTCCGGGCGATATCTCAAGAATCTTTACAGCTTTTGCAATGAAGTTTTAATACTTTTACTCCTTATGACCCCAACTGTCCTTCCTAAAGTGTCCACCGCCCCACACCTTGACCCCTCCCCTAAATCCGCACATGCTCTTCATTTTTCGTTAAGTGGCGGCACAGATTTTTTTAATTAGCTTCTTTATTTATATACATGTATGTTGTTTACAAATACAAATATCTGAATTGTACAATATAGAAGTATATTGACATTTTCGAAAATGCATTTGCAATCATAATCCTCTTTACAAAACGGAGAGAGAGAGGGTATGCCTGTACGAAATGCGGCTTTATCAACTTCATGCTAAGAACGTGTTAAATACCTAAATTCCATGTGAAAAACACATAAGAGAAAGTAAAATGAACAAATGGAATTGAGAAAATATTTACTCATATTCTTATGTCTTTCTCAAATATTTACTCATATTTACTCACACTCTTATGTGTCTTTCTCTTTTGCTTTAGGGCTAATATTTTTCGGAATTGCAAAACTATGCTGAGCTCTTCTTCTTTATCCAGTGACATGATGACAAATATGAAAATGGATTTGAAATTAGGAGGATTTGCCTTCATGGTGACTTCATTTATTTATTCAAATGTGAAAAAATACGTAATGAAGGTAATTTATTATCTAAGAGATCTAGAAATATGCTAATTTTCAATATCTACCAGTTCCCTTGAAAAGTAATCCTAACACGGACGGTATACAGTTGAAATGAATTACAACTACAGAAGAATACTCTTCATCTTTTTTTCAGAGGAGGAAATATTGGGGACACAGAGATGACGATGAACTATTACCAGACACAGATCGTTTAAGTTCGTGTACGACATGTAAGTGTATAAGATAAGATAAGATAATTTTATTTCCAATTTTGGGCCCAGAAGGCATAAAGGTTTCTTACAATGACAAGATAGAAAGTTCTAAAAGAAAGGTTATAGTAAACATATACAAACATGTATATTATGTATAGTGATGACGACCTTACTAGAATTATAGATGAAAAAAATATGAAATATTGGGTGTCTATTGCCAGGGTGGATTATATGTGGAAAAGAAATGTTTTCCTGTTCAACAAAAAAAAAAAATCAATTGCAAAACGTTGAAATTTCTCAGATTTTTATCATATATATTCTATCGCATATTTATTTATTATAAAACTTAATGACTGAATTCGAACTTGTTTCGGTTAATTTCAGGTGCAAATGCGAGCAAGAATGTGACCTCAATGAATAAACAGACTATCAGAGCATTTCAGCCAGCAAAATATAAAAACTATTTCTTGTGCAACGATAGTGGTAAACTAGTCGTCAGAAAAGTGCTGGACTTCAGGATTGATGAAAGATGTAAGTTCTACATTTTCCATTTACATGTTTGTACATGTATTTTGTGTTGGGCTGCTTACTCCCTTTTAATGAAATTGGAAAAAAAAAATCGTTTGGCATTCGACAAGTTAAAACAAAAATATGAGAATAACCCACAACGATTGTACTTGTGTTTCACAACATTTTTTTTTACAAACGAGAGGGGCAAGATTTAAAATACACTGTACTTGATGCTGAAAGTATTTTAACAAAAATGGTCAACTTCTGAATGTAGAGACATGATACAATTTGTGTGTACGAGACTAGGCCCGAAATTTGTTTCAGAAAAGAGTATTTATCATCTGAATTCTAATAATTTAATACTAAGTTAACCAGGGAGTACATAGGAGACAGGGGGATCTTCACCCTTCCAGTCCCCGAACCTTGATCCCCCCCCCCAATTTTTTCCAACATAAATTACTATTGAATATGTACCTTGAAAGACTGGTGCCCCTTTTGGTTACAGTATAGCCAAAGAAGGGAATGTATAGAAATGCAAGAAAAATTGGTACTGAAAGAAACCTCCCCACCTCTTTTTTCTTTGACAGGCTCTCCACTTTCAAAAACGATGCTACGTCACTATTAACTATAGTAGTTAGTTAATTTAATTTTATTATTTTTATTTCTGAAATAAATTCAAATACATGGACGGTGTTTAGATAAAAAAAACCAACAATTTCTTTATATTATAGGTCATTTTACAGAAACCAACTCCACAGAATTTAACCCATGTTGTTCAAATATTTACACGTTTCAGTCCAGGAATGACCAAAACGTATACTTGGGAGTCCATGATGAGAAAACGTTTGGTTTAATTGTAAGTTTCTGAGTTCAGTTGATCATTCACTATGATTATGAACGGAAATTAAAGTTTTTTTTTTCATTTTCGCTATAGCCTTGTCCGATTTGCTTACTTTTGTAAGATATTTGGGTTGCAATGATCGTACTGTAATTGGGAGGGGGTGCGTGGAGGAAAATTTTTGAGAATTACACAAACTGTTTAAAAAGAGGAATCGTACCGAGGAAAACAGCGCAGATTACTATAGTGTTATGACTGAATATTAAAAATATAATGTTTTAAATAAAACACATATGTACTAAATAAAAGTAAATTTGTACCATACATGTACCAGTACCTATATATGTATACTAGAGTGGACGGGTTGTTGTAATATCTTCCACATTTTATTCATCCCCCCCCCCCAATCTTAACAAATATTGCAAAAATAATTTGACAGTACATATTGTAGCCTATGTCACGCTATTCACTCTTTTATTTCATTTCAAGGACACCAATAGTACAAGTGCCGAATGGGAAACAACATTCTATTTACGGCGATGTGAAAATTCACCAATATATTTTCTTAAGCCAAGTAAAGGTAAACTGTCTGAGAACATCAGTCAATTTTAACATTGGGGTGAAAGGAAAAAGGGCTTTTATGAAGTTATATCGTGACGTGACAGACTATGGGTTACCTCCCATCCACGAATTATCACCCTCCAGGAATTAATGAACAAGAGTTATAGTTTGTTTTTTTTTTACACTTGTGGAAAACAAAAACTCGGTTAAGAACCCTCAACACGTGGTCTCACTGCAAGAATTTTTTTCAAGTTATAAACTGGACAAATGTTTCTTTAAATCTTTAAAACTTTTTGCAAAGGAAAGATATTGGTTTACGAATAGAATATATCTTTTCTATTTAATGACATTTTTCAATTATTTATGAAGCTTTTATATACTTTCATTAACATTCTTCACCTTTTTCATTATTTTAGAATTGATTGTCCTGTGCGACAGATCTAGCGAAGGTGAATTTAATTTTACCATTATGGAAGATAAAGTTGCAGCCGATCCTGAACTTAAATATGATTTCTACGAGAATCAGGGATTGGTCATGAATGAAAAACCAATATTACAGGTATTGATAAATTTGATCTAATTAGGAGTAGTAATTAAAAATTCTGTTATTTTATCATGTAACAAAAATAACGATGTTTCCAACCTACAGATTTGCGAATTTCTCGTACTGGCACAAAAACTCTAAGGTGAACTGCCGGGGTATTAAAGAGGCATGCTACGCAATATATCGAAAGATAATTAATTAGATTTATTTGACAAAAGTATCTGTATTATTATTGTTATGAAAAATCGAAGGATTTTCAAAAATTGCAAAAATAAGAAGGATAAGTCTCAAGTTTAACATAAAATTTTAATCTATTCTAAACAATCAATTCTAAATTGCATGATACTAAATTTCTTGAGCTTGATACTCCATAAAAATTAAAATAAAAACACGGATAATGTTAAAAAATTTTCAAAAGTACTTTTTTGAAATAAAAAAAAAACGAAACAATTAATTCTATAACTTTGTAAGCATGATACTTCATGGTGATAAAAAAAGTCGGATGATTTCCTTCCGCAAAAAATAATTACCGGAAAAGAAACATTAATTGCACGAGTTATAAACCGGGATTTATCATAAACTACGAAATGAGAGGAAAACCTCGTATAAAACATCCAAATAATAATATACTTTCTTTTTTAATTCTTTACAATATATACAAAAATATGAATTAATATTTGAAAACTATACATATTAAATTATTCTTTTAAATAATGATGTACATGTAATCTCTTTTTTGTAGATGGCGAACTTGATACCATTTACATGTACCAATTCCATGAAAGTGGACTCGGGGTTAAAATATCAAGCTAGGTAAAAATTTGTCATCATGTTCAAGAAAATGGAGTGTTACTGCCAGATGAAGGAATGGAATGGTTAACAGCTTATCACGAAATTTCGAAATAATAATACATGTAGAGATTGTATTTGTTCTAAAAGCATTGCATCTTGAGAAAAATAATTTTCTTTTTAAAGAAAATTTTAGACTTAAACGTGTTCCTTTTTACTTTTTTTTTATGCATCCAATTATTGGATGAACTAATGTTATAAATTATTTGTTGCTGTTTTTCTTTTATTTTTTGTACAGTTGTAAATAAAAATGGCAATAAAATACAAATAAATGGCATATTTTCTTGAAAAATTTACATGTATATAACTATAACTTTTAATGTATGTATTAACCACGATTTAAAATAAAATTAAATTCTAACACGATTCACTAAGATTTGAAGATGATTCAATGTTTAGAACTTGAATTACAAATAAAGATTTAAAGACAAGTACAAGTAGTCCTTTTGTCCTGATTTTTAAGCAACAATTTCACCAAAAAAAACAACAACAACAACTACTGAATGCCCCTTTGTGGCAGCTTATGGCGAGGGTCGAAATTTCTCAAATCCACGTTATACTCCAAAGTCAAGGCCAAAAGGTCAAAATTGTTTGTAACCAAATGTAGATCTAAGCACATGGAATACACCTGTAAAATATGAAAGTCTAGTACTTATAGTTCAAAAGTTATGGTCAAGGTTAAAGTTTTTAGATGGTCAAACTCTTAGGTCAAGGTCAAAAGTGTGGTACCAAAAGGAAGTTTTTGTCACAAGAAACACACCTGGGAATTATAAAAGCCTTAGTACTAACGGTTCAAAAATTATGACCAAAGTTAAAGTTTTTTAAAAGTGTGCCAGATTCTATGGTCAAGGTCAAGAGGTTATATATATTTTTTCCCAAATAAAAGGTCTTGTTGAAGTGAATACACACGTGATACACTGATGCCTCTGTATGGCAGCTTATAGCGAGGGTTGAAGTTTCTCAAATGCGAGTCAAACTCCAAATGTCAAGGTCAAATTTGATGGTACCCAAAGGAGGGTCTAGTCACAAGGAATCCACTAGTGAAATATGAGAGCAATATCCTTGAATCAATCAAAAGTTATGGGCAACATTAAGGTCAAGATCTAGTAGGGTGAATTCACCATGCATCGGATACCCTTGTACTTCAACAAGTTCTAGCGATATCGCTACCGACGGAAAATTATCAAAATGGAGTTTAACATATAGTTTGTGATTAAAATAACAATTTAGGACACAATTATATGCCGTTTATTGAGAAAATATCCCCTAAAATCGAGTTTTTAGAAAAAACAGAAAATTCACCATGGATCGAACATTGTTCACCATGCATCGGACAGACGGTATGGAGACCGGAAAAATATCATACCTTTATCACAATGCTTTAAAATCCTTGATATGGATATATTTTCATCTTTTATCTAAGAAATAATCCTCAACTGTAATTTAATAGACGATATTATTACACAAACGAATAACAATTCTAGAGACCTCACTCTGCCTTAGAAATGCTTTAAAATGCTTATAATGCCGTAATTCGCGCCTTTTTCTCGTGGTTTATCATACTCTGGTTTGTAGAAATAAATAGAGTAAAATTCCAGACGTCCTATATCGATAACGTGTATTTTGACTGCAAATATAGATTTTTTATTTTCTTTTTCCGCAAAAAACAGCTGTCAGCTGGGTTCTGTATGAAAATGGTAGTTTACCTTTGCATCGAAAAGTGTCCGGTGCATGGTTAATTTGTGTCCGATGTACGGTGAAAATAGCATACTAGTAAAAACCAGCTCTAATAAGAATTAAACAAACATTGAAGTGAAATTTAATTATAATTTATGTAAAATTACCAATCCCTGACAAAATTCACCAAAGTCCGACTCGTTCCGCGGAAGTCGAATTTAAAAGAACGATAACTCTAAAAATTGCAAAATCATAAATTTCGGGTTATTCCCCTTTGATGATGTAAAATATGACGTAACTTCAAGGCCATTTGCGGGGTATTTTTATCACAACATGATAAACACAATCGGTTAAAAAATTTAAATCTTGGTCTTTATGACAGAAACAAATAAATACACAGAACTCATAAGTTGAAAGAGCGTTTATTGCCTAAAGTTGTCCGAAGCAAGGTATGTGTCCGATGCATGGTGAACTCACCCTAAATGACTTTAGAATAACTTGTCAGTGCTAAATCCTTTATGACGTCATAATCACTTTCAACTTTCTTTTTCCCGTACTTTACGGCTCTAATAGAATTATGAAGAAAATAAAGTATTTTCATGGAATTCAAATTGAAATCACATGAAAAGTAGTCCGGATACCTATCTTAAATTTAACATTATTTTAAAGTAGAGACTAAGAACATACAAATAACCGTTTTCTGAAAAACTGTAGGCAATCTGGATACATTTTCTTTGTCTGATATGGAAAAATCTCCCATTTTCAATACTGGTTTTCTTAATTTTTCATTGAAAATGCTAGTTTAAAATATGGTTTTTCTTCTTGTTTTTCTACAAATTATGCCCCGAAACAACTATTTTGACCAATCTAATGTTATAAAACATCATTAAAGGAATAAATTTCTTAAATGTGAAAAATCTGTAGGCACCTTCCATTTACTAGATCTTGACCTTAAAGTTTTGCAGACAAACAGACAGACGGACAGGACAAAGCTATATACCATCGAATCTTTGATTACGGAGGTATGAAAATATCCACAAGAAGTGTTTCCTAGCATTAGAGTTAATATTTTGGTATAAAAGTATCTCAAAACAATTACGAGCGCAAGTTTCCGGAAAAAATAGAATTTGGAAAAATTTCAGAAGAGTTGGTTTTCAATTTTGGTTTGAATTCACAAGATATTACTGTACATAATAAGCACGTAGCAACAGAGGGGGGGGGGCTGCCCCCGCCCCACTTTTTTATAGGAAATATTTTGTAATTTGTTTACTTTTATTATAGGAAATGTTAATTGTAAGGTTGGTTGCCCCCCCCCACTGTATACCCCCCCCCCCAGAAATAGGATTTTAGACTTCGGGCAATTACCTTTTTTAAGTGAAAAAAATTTTTTCTCTGGCTGCCCCCCCCCTTTCAAAAACGATGCTAACGTGGCTGCATAAATAAGCAAATTCATAGAATTGTCGTCCGCCAATTTCGGTGTCTAATTCTTAGTGGATGGACTGCCATTATTTACGTGAAAATACATGTTTTAAAAAAGTGTAAAATTATATTATAAATATATAATTTAATTTTGCTTGTATTCTTGCCTCTCATTGGTTGATTTTCAAAAAGGAACGCATAACATTTTGTATAATCTGGTTTGGTATGGGGACACACCCCCTTGACAACCAGCATAATCATCTGTATCCATCAATCCCCTCATTTCCAGTCCTTGGGATTCATGGAAAATTCCAGATTTAATGAATGTACCTTTAATTTCAAACAGTTGCTCGATCTTACCTCATGTGAACAAGCATCATGGCTGCTAGATCTATGTATCAGTTTTTACCTCCCCTCGCTTCCCATCACTTCCGTTACTACGGTTGTATTATTGCGCGGTAAATTTGAACTCATAAAAACAACACAATTTTACATCCCCAGTTGTTTAACTATTTTAAAATTAAATTATAAGGAATGACTCTAATTCTTGGCCAAATTATCGAGTATAATATGGTTTGGGTCAGTTTACGCTTTTTCATAATCCGCTTCGCGGATTATAAAGCGTAAACTGACCCAAACCATATTATACTCGATAATTTGGCCAAGAATTAGAGTCATTCCTTAAATATAGTAATATAGTTTTCTTTAATTACTATGGATTCTAGATGAAATAATGATTAATGAAATGATTTTTACAGGATCAATTTAGACATATAGGGCAAACTGACCATGGTTCGGACAGACAGAAAAATTGACCTAGGTTCGGACAACTTTACCGTTATTTTTTTCGGTTAAATAAATCTGTTTTCAGCACAATACGGAAATATATCAATCTCAGCGATCGGATTTTTTATTTAGTCAAGACCACGTGTTTATCACGTGACTCGATAGTTGGTGGTGGCGCTACGATTTTAGGGCATGTGTAGTTTGTTTTACGTCAGTAGTTTAAGGGAAAAGTAAACAAACACTTGCAAGTAAAATCAAATGAATGAGGCTCTACTTTATTAAACCAGTATGAATTATTTCTATTGCGTTTCTAAGTGATTAATCCTTCCTATTAGGAAAAAATTTTTTCAGTTATTTTCTATATTTGTTGTGAAATCTTCCTCGAAAACTGAAAATTAAATGTACCTAGGTTCGTACACCAGATGACCATGATTCGTACATTGCTCAAACCAAAGTTCAAGCTCCTTATAATCAAATCGCCTTACTATTGTTTTTTTTTAAATCATGCTTCATGTATAGCTATAAAAAACATATATATATTTTAAATGTACATTTATGTACAAGTATTTTCAATCGATCAAAATGAGGATGGGCTCCTCAAACATATATGATATTATTATATGCATGTATGCATTTTCAATTTTTTGATATAATAAAATTAATTATTCCAACTGATTGAGTAAATGATGTTTGATAAATTGAAAATTAAACCAATTCATTAATCATAAAAGCTATATTATTTCTAAATTTCTAGCATTTAAATCACATCCCTATATAGCACCAAGAATTTTTGATTGGTTTAGAAATGAACAAGTGCCAGTTACATCTTTAATTAATACGTACATAGACTTCTTAATTGTAGGTTTCTTTTACAATGAAATAATAATCCCTCGTTTAGAACAAAAATGGAAAACGTCATAATTAAGGGTGTATATGGTCTCTGTATATATGCACTACATGTATTTGGGTGCTAGATGACCAGTGTATTATTTGTTCAAAACATGAGCGCAATAATCAAAGACATGCATTGATGCTATTGCAGTTTATGAAGATCGTGCACTGACGTGCAGAAAAGATTTTATCTTCGCCGTGCGCATTCGTCATTTCTTTATTTAGAATTAAAATTAACTGAGGGTCAAGCCAACCTGCAAAAGGCGGAAGAAAGTTGAAGAAAACACCCCGAGCAAAAATAAATTGCATTTCAATTCGAACAACTTGTCGACAGCCCAAAGTATAATTTAAAACTCATTGCTTGTAATTTAAAAATAAAAAACATAAAAAAGATATTTTTCATTTCTTTTATTATGGAAACAAAAAAAAAAAACCAAAAGGGATAAAGGTTATCCTGACAATAATCAGCGGCATATCATTAAACAAAATCTTTGGACCTCAGGTGTATATTCGAGGACAGGGGGATAACACTTTGTAACACACGCTACCTTGTTACTGGAAATGGTGTAAATCTATACCTATACGAATCCCTCGTAGTACCAATTAGCAAGAGACGATACCAAGCCCAAACTTTCCCTTGAAGACGAAAAGATTGAAGCTAACTGAGTACAGAACAAGAACTTGCAAACAAAGGAATCATATCTTCTAAAGCAGAACCATATTTGCTTTGGAATATGCGGTGGTATCTGAAACAAATGGTGATTTCGAGTGAAACATGGCCATCCAAATATGCATAGAGAGCAAAAAACTAGCGAAATCAATAAAATTTAAATACAGTTAATTTTTTTTTAATACCACAATTTCAGTCTCGTTTTTTGGAGGAAAACTTCGACATATTTGAGGTTACGATCGAAGAAAATGGGAGGGGTGATCAAGCAATAGAAATGGTTTCTTTAATATTATTTTTTCAGTGAGTTTTCTTTGCAAATTACAGACGAACTCAAACGATTTTCAGTTGCTTGAAGCTCTCTCAGGACGTTAAGTTATCAGATATCAGAGTTGATACCGCTGACTACGGCGATGATTTCCTACTGAAATTGAAACTACGACATGAGCCCAAATATGACGAAACTTTTGTCAGCATACGTCATTTACGACAAACTAAAGCACAAAAAGAGGAAAGAGAGAAAAAGGAAAAGAGTTCTAGTTTAAAATAATACTAAAAAACAACAGATTTTTACTAGGAATGGGAGAGATATGATTAAAATCTTATTGGAGGTTTCTTATTATGTCATGTGACTCTATATGTAGTATTTGAAAGAAATCAGACATGCACGTGCTATTGATTTTGAAGGGTTTGGGAGAGAAATCAGGAAAAAATAAACAACTTATCTGATAAAACTTTGAAAAAAAAATCAAGCAAACGAACGACCCCAAAGAAAATGGTCCAAACTCGAAAGGGGGTCAAACTTTCTTTCACTTTGAAATTTTAGCAAACGCCGGAATGTATTACCAAAACACTGCGATGTAACAATGCTACAACAAAAGAAGGGGACATACTTTCGATGAACATCTATAATGTTAAATTTCAATAGTAAAATGTTATGTTTTAGAGAGGGTGGATGGGGGCTACTACGAGCCTGTAAATATTGCATATCTGTTATTTAAAAAAAAAAAAACATCATTTGTTTACTGTATATTATCATGTCCGAACCTTGGTCAGATACGTTCGAACCATGGTAAAAATCGCTTGATGAATTTAACTTCTAGTTGGAACAGAGGTATTTAGTGTTTTGGTGATATATTTACAATCCATAAAACCCGAAAGGTTCCAAAACACTTTCCAGTTGATAGTAAAAGTCTAGACCACTGTCATTCGGAGTAACAGCTTATTGCTTGTAAGCAAAACAAGAACCGTCCAAACCATGGTCAGTTTGCCCTACAATTTTTTGTAAAAATCTTATTACATACCAAAACTTATTTTCAAACAATGTAAATTTTTAGCATGCAAATGACTCTAAACGATAAAGGATATTGTTGACCTTAGGGCATTGAAAGTTGAGAGAAAATTGGCCTAAAAAGCATGCGATATACAAGTACATGTATCTACGGGTTTTCCTTGTGGGAGAAAGATCACGACCAAAGAGCCATGTGCTGATTTTTCTTCCGTGTTTTTACAGTCAGTTACCTCCCTTGTACATTATTCCCACGAATTCCAGTTATCAATTAAATATGGTTTTAGTCATCCGTTTCAAAAGCACAACTTTTGGTGAAGGTTAAACATCGCCCAACGGTTGTAATTTTTAAAATCACACGAAAGGAAAACCCAGGTTTTTAATCTGATGTTATTTAAACTAGCATCACTTAAATTCGTCAAGCATAAACCATCCTGGATCTCGTACTACAATGTAAGTATATCATTGCTTGTCAGCTATTGCATAATTGTCCGATTGTTTTTTTTTCTGAAATGCAGTTATGAAAATTCTGTAGGCTCAAGCACAAGGTAAAAGCGTACGTTAAAATCAGTCTATCAAACGCCATGATAAGGTGATAAATTGCTCTCGAGAGAAAAAAAATAACATTAAATCTAATTGTAGTCATTTTTTTAGTATAATTATGTGTAAACTAATGTAGAATACAACCGTCTGCCTTTATAAACCATACAATTTTAAACTCCATTTTAATTTATACTTAACATAATGCAGTGCTTTGCAATATTACAATTTCTATGTTTGAAATAAATGAGTAAAACGTTTTCCCGAGTTAAGCGAGAAAAGATAAATTGTTTCTTTAGAAAGCCAGAATACAGAATCAGTGTGATGCATTGGTCTCTTGATTAATGGCCTATATCTGTCTGTCTGAAGGGATTTCTTTCCCTGGGGGCTGGTTGAACATGTATGTGATACTAGTGTCTTTCACTAATGAACAATTTTCAATTGCCAATGAGTACATGACTAATTAAAATTTTAATTGAAAAATTCAAATTTTTGTAGAGGACACTAGTATAGTCTTCCAAATCCAAATTGGTTATAATGTATTTTAATTTTAAAATAAAGTAACGACAAATAAAATCTGATGCCCGGGTATTACAACGATTATAAAAATTAATTTAGTTTTTTTTTTTTTTACCAGCTAGATTGATACGTATCACGATATTTGAGTTACAATATAATATGCATCACTATTATTTTTTAAATGGTCGTAAAACTTACATGTATTTTGATAGTAAAACGAACAAAACAATTTTTCACAATTAATTATCTGTGGTAAAAGAAAATTATTTCACAGAATTAAGCTAGTGTTGTGATTTTTTAAAAATATGTACTGAGTATTTCATATTAATATTTAGCATATTTATCTAATATATTAAACCCAAACTACCGGTATTAAGAATACAAAGAAAAAGAAGTAGGATTTTTTTATTGTTAATTGCAATATTTAGATATGTCTATGTCACGATTGTGACAATGATGCAGATTGTTTTATATAGGATTCGTGTTACCCTGTGTGTACCACAGGTACTTGTGGACAGGAACCCCCCCCCCCCCCGATATTCAACCCCGGGGCTTATTGGACATTTTTTTCACAAATTATATTTATTACACTTATTCATCATGTGTACAATATGAAAAAATCGTCAAAACCCCAAAATAATCGCTCCACAAAAAAATACCCCACTATACATTATAAGAGAGAAAGGTATGCAACTCCCGTTTGTTTACGTTGTACCCCCACTGGTCTTTCTGGGTTTAAAACATGCATTTATTTTATTTCAACCTGAAATGTCGATTCACACCGTCTCTACATATATTTCTGTCATAGTCCATGCTATCGGATTGACTCTGCGTCTCGTAAAAATCCCACAATATCTCCTTAGACAGCATTACAGTCAGAACGTTGAAACTTCCCTTAGTAAAAGCAACGGAAGTGCATAGAGAATGTTTCACTTATTAGGATAACGTCCGAGAGAGTTTTGGTCTGACGTAATAATCCCTCTCGGGTGTTATCATACATTCTCTATGCACTTCCGTTGCTTTTACTAAGGGAAGTTTCAACGTTGTGACTGTAATGCTGTCTAAGGAGATACTGTGGGATTTTTACGAGACGCAGAGTCAATCCGATAGCATGGACTATGACAGAAATATATGTAGAGACGGTGTGAATCGACATTTCAGGTTGAAATAAAATAAATGCATGTTTTAAACCCAGAAAGACCAGTGGGGGTACAACGTAAACAAACGGGAGTTGCATACCTTTCTCTCTTATAATGTATAGTGGGGTATTTTTTTTGTGGAGCGATTATTTTGGGGTTTTGACGATTTTTTCATATTGTACACATGATGAATAAGTGTAATAAATATAATTTGTGAAAAAAATGTCCAATAAGCCCCGGGGTTGAATATCGGGGGGGGGGGGGTCCTGTCCACAAGTACCTGTGGTGTGTACATTGTACTTTCCCTCATTTGTAGATCACATAAACGGTTATATGTCATATTGTGTCTCACTGTACTTACGTATCTAGAAGAACATGATCTTATGATTATATTTTATTATCCTGGATGAATATCAATATTGTAATACGCTAGATTTGTTCATAGACCTAAAACGAAGGGACTGCCGACTTATGACGTCACAATCACTATCTTCTTGCGCTTGCAGCGCCCTCACCGGGATGTATAGAAACAGACTTCCTGTAATGAAATCACTGTTGTCGCATCATAATTTTTTGCATTCTTTAAGGAAATAACAACAAATTAGAAAAATCAATCACTTATCTAAGCTTTCCATGACGAAATGATCTCGACTGACTACTTCGGAACTTATAACTTTACGCTGTGGAGTCGATGGAAACGTTTTAATTGCAGACATCAGCTGACTACGACGTGACATCTCTTGAATGCTGTCGATTATATTTTACGGTAGTACATAATTTATATTCTTATTTTATTTACAAAATAAGGAAACAATTTTTCTACCAATATTTCTAAAACAACGACCAATTTCATATCTATGCTGAATTGATGTAAACTGATAAAATAATAAATACATCGTGAAGTGCCCTTCAACAATTTAATAAATTGAGATGTTCCCGTTGGCCGTTAATGATCTACATAATTATGTATTTTTAAAAAAATTAGTTATAACTCTTAAAAGATTTATTTAATCGTGTTAATTCAGGATTACAGCATTGTCAGTGATCGAAAGATTTTCTAAGAGGTATTTTTTTTATTTTTTCCCACAGGATTTGTACATAGCCTGTCCACTTAAGGCACTTTTCCTGTCCACTTTTCAACCAAACTCTATGGAAAATGTTTGAGAACATGTACCATGCCATGTACCATCTCACTCTGGTATAATAAGTCAAATGTGAAAGAATAATGGTTGGTTACAAACCTGCACAGGATTAAATCAACAAAAGTGCCAAGTGGTGTGTCCCATGTATGCACGGATGAGTTGCACATAACTGGATTTCAATGATTTAATTATCATGTTTGGAACTCCAATTTTTTCAGCTATACTGTGTATATCCAGATTGTGATTATTATTAACTTTTGTATATCATAACTCAAAGACAAACTGCATCAATATAAATATTAAATACACTGTAATTTAATATGACTGTAATGAAATATTATTAAAATCATTGTTATATTTTAGACTTTTCCACTTTTTTTATTTATTAAAAAGGTTATTCAACTTAAAGCAGTGAAAAGCACTGATAATTAACATTAATTATGCATGGTTCAAAATTTTATATGAGAGTTACTTCTTGAAATTTTTGAAGGTGATTTTACAGTTTAAAAAGGTCAGCCATTTCTATAGTGAGTTTGTTAAGTGAGCACTGCTTTAGATGTACATGTATGGCATATTTAATGTCTTTTAAAAATAATTATTTTCAATGTAATCAATCACAACTGCAAAGTACAAAATAATAATCACTGAGCATCATGTTCAATCTTATCAGCAGCCTTGAAGAACAAACACTAGTTAGGAAATATTTTATATACATGTATACAAGTTCTACTGCCACTATGATTAAATTGTTTGATCTTTAACCCACTGTCTAAATAGAAGTTTTAATAACTTATTAACTTACTGTAGCTCAAAACACACAGGCACTTGTAAATCTTATTTTTCTTGTTTTGTTGTCTTTTTATGAAATTATACTCCCTATACCTTGTTATGTAGTCAAGGAAAATGTTCTTTTTTTATTAAAAGAATCATATTTAAATGGGATCAACTTTTCTCTTTTTTTTTCAACGATGCATATCAAGTTTGTGCGCATAAATATTGAATTACCTTTTAGCCCTATGCTAAATTTCAAACCCATAAAAATTTTGACAAGCACAAAAAGAGGGGGGTTGTTGTTAGGATCGAACTTCTTTCAGTACCAAATTTTATCAAAACACTACCACTTTGGCGCTTATCCATTTGTTGGCTTAAACTATATATAACGTGCCTGTCGAAATCGGGGAGGGGGGGGGGGGGCTAAACCCTCGCCCCAATGATCAATTGATGCCTACATCATATCTTTGCGAAAAAAATGAAATGGGGGGGGGGGGGGCTATAGGCTTGTCAAAGAATACTCGTATTGATTATAATTGTCTACCTCCTTACTCGTGTTACCGTAGTCATGATAGGGTGCCACATGAGGGGTCTGTTGCGAACCATCAGCGTTGTCAAATACTGCTATTAATCATAAGATCTTTGCTCTAAAAAATCCACGTATTAATAGGCCTATCTGTTTCTCCTATATGAACTTTTTTTCATCGAGCAGCATCTTGAGCAACTTCGCATGCATTTTAACAGCTTCTCTGTGATCATGGTACGTGGTGATCATCTGTCATGTTAAATACTCAAATTGTATAGCTTTTTTACACATTAAAAACAAGATAAATACCTCAAAAGCTGCTCAAGGAACTCTTTAGTGTATTTGTAAAGAGAATTGGTACATTCGGCAAAAGTTTAATTCATTCAATGCTATAATATCTCGACAATGTAGATGTAAATCACGTTATCTTTGTAATGCCGGATGTTTTCTATACATCCCGGTGAGGGCACTGCAATCGGAGGAAGATTGTATAGTGATATCTATTGTGACGTCATAGGAGTCGGCAGTCCCTTCGTTTTAGGTCTATGATTTGTTGTAAATATCGTTTCTAACTCTGTAACTTTATTTATGGATACCGCCATCATGATGGTTATTTTGTGGAATATCACGCCCGATTTTAATTGTAATTTTCTGTATTCTAAGCATTTTTATCGAAATCTAACACTTAGGGAATATGGTCATATTGTATAAATGTTTTACATTATGATTGTCATATTTTTATGTTGATTATTTATTGTTATTGTTAAACATTATTTGATAATGATTATTGCCGGTGGCTGCCGGTGACTGCCGGTGGTACCGGAGATCTGCCGGTCGTCCCTAGGGAAGCGCGTGGGTTTCCGGGGGGACTCTCCAGTGCTATATAAGCAGAGGATAAGAACTGCCGGTGGGACTCGGCATTTAGATTTTGAGGTTAGCGGTTGTTTATTTGATTCTTAGCATTTTTCATTAGGAATTTAGTAATTTTTTTAATTAATTCATCAATTTTTCTTATAGTGAATACGGGTTAATCTCGTTTCACTATTAATTACAAGTATTCATTGTAGGACGTTTATATTGGGTTAATCTCGATATTAAACGATTAAATAATTTTGTTACGGTTTGACTGAAAGTGAGTCTTGAAGTCTTTCCGTGTAAATAATTGTTTATCTTTGATAGATTTTAGGAATTCAATCAATTTAAAGTGATAATCTAGTTACGTTTATTGGAATATTCAAGCAGGAATTAAGGCTAGGATTTGATATAGAAATTATAGAGATAAATTTCTTGCTTTAAATAGCTTTTATTGATTGCGTAGATTCGTTCAGAAATACTTTCAATTGGTTATTCTAAGGTATTTCTATAGTATCTATTATTCACTATTCGGGTCATTCTCGTTTAGTGTGCCCCCCCCTTTTTATCGTATTAACGTAATACGAAGGTTGTGTTAGTGTAGTAATTCATTGTGAATTTGGGTGATTCCCGACTTACAGTGAATTTTATTGTAATTGAATATTAATTAATACATATTGTGACTTTTATTTATTGAATAAATTTGTAAACTTTAAATAAGGCTTATCATTTAACTTCCCCGTAGTTATTTACGAGTCCAAACACAGGTTATTCTTGTGTTATTATAGGAGATCTTTATTTGCGGGTTATTCTCGGAAATAATCACAGTACTACATGGGTTATTCCCGTGAAGGCTTCTAAGGAGTATCTGTGCGTGAGATCCAAGCAGCTCAGGTCCGTTACATTTGGTGGCAGCGGTGGGATCTGCCAAGTACATCGGTGGATCCAGAGATACGTAACCCAGAACCAGTGTTGAGAAAATCCATGCATAGGTACTATACCAGATCCAAGACTAGGATGGAGCCATCCGTTAATCCCGGACATACCAGAGGACAATCCACAGATGAGGAACTCCTCATAGATTTATCGCCGTCAGCGTTAAACAGATCACTCCGAGGAGAACAGAGCATGTCCAACAATGACAACTCTACAGAGGATGAAGATGACTCAGATACTCAAGCTAGAATATCAACGCCTATTAGAAAAATAAGAAGATCCAAAAGGACTGTGCATCGACAAAGGGAGATAATCCCTACAGACACGGAACTGTCAGAACCAGTCACACAGTCAACACAGAATAATTCTGTCTCAGACCCTATGAAGATAATGATGGAACAGATGACCCAGACAATGAAAGCCATGCAGAATATGATGGAAGCAACTACTCAAACTCTCAGACAAGTAAGCAACCAGACAGTGAAAGTCATGCAGGATATGATGGAAGCGACTACCCGAAATGTCGGACAAGTGAACAGCCAGACGCATACTACAAACTGCAAGCCGCAGCCTAAAGTATCGAGAATCAACTCAAACAATAACAAGTCAGAGACAGAAACCAAGGAAAGCAATCATGAGGAATCAAATGAAGATTCAGAACAGTCTGAAAATGAGCAATCTGTCAACTCAATTGCCACAAGGGATTTGTTCGAGTCAAAGAAGTCAGATAACCACAAGTTTGACAGTAAGCTTCCACCTTACACAGGTTCCGAGAAATGGAGAGTTTGGCTGAATCGCTTCGAGTCTGTAGCCGAGTTGGCCGAGTGGACTGCTAAAGAGAAGTTACAACAGATATTACCAAGAATACAGGGAATTGCAGCTGATTTTGTTTTTGGTCAGCTGAAGAAGGAGACTATAGGGAACTATAAGACCCTAGTCGCAGAAATAGAATCCAGATTTGGAACACTAGAAAATAAGAGAGTCTACAAAACTCAATTCAACAACAAAAGACAAGGAAAAGATGAAAGTCTTGAAGAGTATGCTGCTGACATTAAGCGTCTTTATGACTGGGCTCACCCGAGTAGAGATGCCAGCACCAGACAGGAAGACTTAATTTCAAAATTTTTGCAAGGATTATGGGATTCTAGGGCAAGGCAGTACATTGAATTACACAAAGAACCATCAACAATTGAAGAGGCAGTACAGCAGGTAGCTGCTTATATGTCAGTCACCTCCAATATGACCACAAATGAAGAGAGACACCCTATTAGACAGGCTAAGATTTATGGAAAGGGAGACAGTCGCAATGCTGAGAAGGGAAATGCAAATTCTGTGAAGATGACAAAAGGGAATTGCTTTATTTGCAGCATGCCCGGACATTATGCCCGAGAGTGTCCGCATAGGAATTTTCACACGACAGAGAAATCACAGTACTACATGGGTTATTCCCGTGTAGGCTTCTAAGGAGTATCTGTGCGTGAGATCCAAACAGCTCAGGTCCGTTACATTTGGTGAAAAATGTCACGATTGTGACAATGATGCAGATTGTTTTATATAGGATTCGTGTTACCCTGTGTGTACATTGTACTTTCCCTCATTTGTAGATCACATAAACGGTTATATGTCATATTGTGTCTCACTGTACTTACGTATCTAGAAGAACATGATCTTATGATTATATTTTATTATCCTGGATGAATATCAATATTGTAATACGCTAGATTTGTTGTAAATATCGTTTCTAACTCTGTAACTTTATTTATGGATACCGCCATCATGATGGTTATTTTGTGGAATATCACGCCCGATTTTAATTGTAATTTTCTGTATTCTAAGCATTTTTATCGAAATCTAACACTTAGGGAATATGGTCATATTGTATAAATGTTTTACATTATGATTGTCATATTTTTATGTTGATTATTTATTGTTATTGTTAAACATTATTTGATAATGATTATTGCCGGTGGCTGCCGGTGACTGCCGGTGGTACCGGAGAAGCGCGTGGGTTTCCGGGGGGACTCTCCAGTGCTATATAAGCAGAGGATAAGAACTGCCGGTGGGACTCGGCATTTAGATTTTGAGGTTAGCGGTTGTTTATTTGATTCTTAGCATTTTTCATTAGGAATTTAGTAATTTTTTTAATTAATTCATCAATTTTTCTTATAGTGAATACGGGTTAATCTCGTTTCACTATTAATTACAAGTATTTATTGTAGGACGTTTATATTGGGTTAATCTCGATATTAAACGATTAAATAATTTTGTTACGGTTTGACTGAAAGTGAGTCTTGAAGTCTTTCCGTGTAAATAATTGTTTATCTTTGATAGATTTTAGGAATTCAATCAATTTAAAGTGATAATCTAGTTACGTTTATTGGAATATTCAAGCAGGAATTAAGGCTAGGATTTGATATAGAAATTATAGAGATAAATTTCTTGCTTTAAATAGCTTTTATTGATTGCGTAGATTCGTTCAGAAATACTTTCAATTGGTTATTCTAAGGTATTTCTATAGTATCTATTATTCACTATTCGGGTCATTCTCGTTTAGTGTGCCCCCCCCCCCCCCCTTTTTATCGTATTAACGTAATACGAAGGTTGTGTTAGTGTAGTAATTCATTGTGAATTTGGGTGATTCCCGACTTACAGTGAATTTTATTGTAATTGAATATTAATTAATACATATTGTGACTTTTATTTATTGAATAAATTTGTAAACTTTAAATAAGGCTTATCATTTAACTTCCCCGTAGTTATTTACGAGTCCAAACACAGGTTATTCTTGTGTTATTATAGGAGATCTTTATTTGCGGGTTATTCTCGGAAATAATCACAGTACTACATGGGTTATTCCCGTGAAGGCTTCTAAGGAGTATCTGTGCGTGAGATCCAAGCAGCTCAGGTCCGTTACATCTACACACGTATCGATCTTAACTTAGAATCGATATTATCGATATACAAGTCCTTGCTATGGCTAACCAGTCTTTCCTGCATCAACTAGTACACGTTCAGCTAACCTTCTCATCACAGTTGTATGTTGATTAACCTTTGAACCAGTAGAACAATTGCTATTAAGAGCATGGTCCTGTCTCTCTGAAAGTAGGTCCTTCATAAGTTAACGTTAGGGCTAAAAAAAAAAAATCCAGTTTTCAATGGTACTTGTTGGTACTTTACTATCCGCCCAAATCTTTCCACCATGGTTTTTTAATTCTGAAATTTGGAGAAAAATTTAATCAGTATAATAATACATAATTGATGATATTATAGAAGATCTTGAGAAAAATGGGAAACGTTAATTGTCATAGAAGACAGGAGGCGGCTTCCATTGGTATAGAAAAATCATTGAGGAATCAGGAGGAAAACTGCCAGTCCACTGATCGTGATGGAGACAGGTGTGTATTACAGTAAAACACGGTTATAGCGAACAGGCGTATAACGAATTGACACTAACAGCGAAGTGATTTTCATTCCTCGTGACTTAAATATATATTGCATATAACGAATTATGCTTATAACAAAGCGAAATCGTTCATCCCTGACAGTTCGTTATAGGCGTGTTTTACAGTACAATTCATTAGCAGAACGATATAAAAATTTAAATGTATTTATTTATGATTTCATGTTTCGCTACCCGCAAAATACACTGGTAGTTAGGTCTGGTGCTTTTTTCTACATCATGAATATCTTTAAATGGAGCTCTTCTTCTAAAGGAGATCAAAATAGTTTGAAAATGGCCACAACCACCCAAGAGTGTTCCCTCTTTTCTACATGATAGTGGCATGTTTTTCCCGTGAAATGCCAAGATGGTCCTTCAAGTCTATGTGTGAAAATGCCTTTTTACACAATTAAAAATTTTAAAACTAAAAATATGAAATTTTTTCTTTGCCAAATGATAGTTTACAGCTTAAGATACGAGGGTTGAGCCAAAAGTAATGTCACAGTGTCCATATATTTTATATTTGGCGTCATATTATCAAATGTAATATATCAAAAGATGCACAAATTTAAATCTAATTAAACTTGATTTTTTCTTTCAATAATGTTTAACTGAATTTGTTTTATAGATGTTTAAATCATAGGACATAGGGGGTATCGCTGCGTCACAACCGAACGTCACAGATTTAAGTGTATTTTTTAGAATAAAAAAGACAAATAAAAAGCATTTTTTAAAAGCGTCTAATAAAAAAATATTTTAAAAGACAAAAATTTACATTATTTTCTAGTCTCATAATTGCTATTTTTTATCAAAAAACATCGTTTTTTTACTCCTGTGCATTGACAAAAGGAAATGTCGAAATAGACCCCCCCAAAAAAACCAAAACAAACTGTAATGCATTTTGCTTCAAAATTGAGACATTGCCAATAGAGAGAGTTACATTAATTCACCAGACTTGCAGAGAAAAGAATGTAAAAAAGACACTTGTTTAGATGGTTTCAGCGATTTTGGTCGGGTCATTGGTTATTGAATGTTCAACAGATGACAAGAAGACCGAAAGATGGGAGGGCGGACAGAAATGTTCGATGGTGTGTGACGTTGTCAAAAAGACAGACGGTTAGAGCGAATTGTGAAATTTGAAGTTGGTCTTATACTACTGTTCAAAGAATTTTAACAGACGAATTAATTACGGAAAAAATGTACGATACGTACCAAGTTTTCTTTAAGAAAGTGAAATTGGTGAATGTGTTCGTGGATCTCAATTTTTATTTTTATGAAACAAAGGAAAGCGTTTAATTGTATGACGGTGTGTATCCGTCATATGACGTTATTAAGGTGCGGCGACTACCATAACCACACATTGTATATAATCCGATATTTTGAAAAGCATAAATCATCTTGAAGTGAAATTTGCAGGTCTGATTTGAAATAAATGTAGCTTTCATCATAGATAACTTTACTGTTTTATATCGACGGGTAGCGATTTAATCGAAGTTGTGACATTACTTTTGGATCAACCCTCGTATCATATCTAAAAAGTTAAGGAATATCTGATGGATAATTTGAAGACCCCAACCTATTGCTATCCGTTTTCGTCCGTCGTCGTGCGTTGTGCGTCGTGCATTAACATTTGAACATTTTCAGTTTCTTCTCTACGACCACTGAACCAATTTCAACTAAATTTGGCATAAAGCATCTATGGATGAAGGGGAACAAGGATTGTGAATTTCATGGTCCCTGCCCCCTGGGGCCTGAGGGATGGGGCCAAAACCACTAAAAATATTGCAATCTTTAAAAATCTTCTTCTTTACTCCTGAACATCAAGCAGTCAAACTGTTTGCTTGATTGCAATCAGCATTGAGTCCTCTACCAAAATTGTGAAATTCATGGCCCTGGGGTCAGAGGTTCTAGTGTTAGGGCGGGGCTAAATAAGTATATAGTGAAATTGCATTATTTCTTTGAAAATCTTCTTCTCTGCTCCTGGGTATTAAATAAACTAACTAAGTGCATAGTTATGATGAGCAAGAGTGCATCTACCGAAATTCATGGCCCCAGGGTCAGGGGTTCTGGTGCTAGGGCGGAGCTCTATTGATTAATTTATAGTGAAAATACATGAATTCTTTGAAAATCTTCTTCTCTGCTCTTGGATGCTCTAGAGTGCATCTATCAAAATTGTAAATTTTATGGTCCCAGGGTCAGGGGTTCTGGTGTAAGGACAGGACTCTATTGATTATACAGTGAAAATGCATTTATTCTTTGAAAATCTTCTTCTCTGCTTCTGGGTATTAAATAAACTATAACTAAGTGCATAGTTATGATGAGCAAGAATGCCTATTCCAAAATTGTGAATTTTATGGCCCCAGGGTCAGGGGTTCTGGTGTTAGTGCGGAGCTCTATTGATTATATAGTGAAAATGCATTAATTCTATGAAAATTTTCTTCTCTGCTCCTGGGTATTAAGCAGATAAACTACCTATATAGTTATGATGAGCAAGAGCCGTAATCTTCAATAATTGTGAATCTCAAGGCCCCAGGGTCAGGGGTGCCATAGAGGGGGGCTGTTCTTATATACTGAAAATGAATGAATTGTTTGAAATCTGCTCCTTGGTATTAATGAAATATTTTTGAAAAGCAAGGATGCCTTTTCAGAAATTGTGCAATGTGTGGATCTAGGCCTAAGGGTCAAGGGTTCATATGTGGTAGAGGCACTACTGATTATTACTGAATATTACTGATTAGTTGAAATGCATTTTTTGTTCCTCTACACTGCCTATGGGTATTAAGTAACCAAGCTAAACAACTGCTAAGTGTATAGTTATGATGATCAATGGTGCTTCTTTCAAAATTGTGAATGCCATAGCATCTGGCTTAAAACATGAATCAAATTTAATCACTGGAATGTTGTTGCATAACGCTCAGGTGACCTATAAGGCCCATGGGCCTCTTGTTTTACTAGGTGTCAGCCAGAACCTCCGTCGTTCACGTGTGAAGACATTGCGGAAATTAGTGAGCAGTTTAGTCTAGGTACTTTTGTTTTTATGGTAAGTATTTTTTAAAAGTCGTGTAAAGTACTTTAACATTAAGTAGTCTAGCAGGCCATACTTTTACAATGTAGATCTGCTTAAGAACATGACGTACTTGTATGTATTTGAAATGATAAACATAATTATGTTGTTGATACATGAACATTGCTATTTAGTCTAAATGATTTTTCAATTTGTTAAAATATCAAAACTTATTTGACCTTTTATAATTTTTAAAACGTAATTCATAAAAAGATTACAATGCCTTCATTTGAAGGTTTGAAGCAATTGATATATACAATTTTACATAAATATTCACAGGGGAAGAAATGTGACCCAAATGACCACTGCCGGGGTTTAATACCAGAAGGTAAAACTTTTGTATTATACACATTATACACATTTTTGTAGCGTACATCTAAACATCATCAGGGATTACTTTTTACATTCAAGAGTTGATTTTGTACTATACAATCTGCCAATATAGAGTAAATTACAAGTAGTTATAATTTGAAAAGGACAATTACCAACCACCCACCCCCATCCCCTCCTAAAAATTGTTAAGGCATGCAGAAGACACTTGTACGCCCCTGTCGAATTCTGATTTTTTTGGGGGGGGGGGGGATTTATGCCTGCTGTTTCATCCACTTTTTCAATTGGAATTTTTTCAATCAATCTGAATTTTAATATGACGAATTTGCAAAAGATCGGACATATGTTTTATGATAAAGTATATAAATATAGTAATCGTTTCCCTCTTTTAAGAAATTGGAGGGGAAGAAAAACTACAATTTTGACTTTTCATTTGGTACAGATGCAGATCTTTACACGAATTGCATGGTGCTGATTAAAAAGGAACGAACAAAGACCGTGGTATTTCAGCCCTCAAAAAGAAGGGATCTGTTCTTATACAATGACAATGGAGTGCTAACAGTCAAAAGAGTGAAGGACTTTAGGACGGATGAAAATTGTAAATATTTTTGAAGGTTATTTCACAGCTTTTTTTTTTATTTTTTGCTTTCAAGAAATTTTATTACATGCAATAAAGAACTTAATACATGTATCAATTAAAACAAAATATTAGCAATACACCGATTAATCCTTTTAGATAAAGTTATACGTATAACTACTGTAAATCACTTTTTATTCGCGAGAACTTAAATTACATGTGCTCAAAATTTAAATATAAAATTCCTTAAGAAAATATAAAGCAATAACCACACCTCGAAAATTTTGTCTCCCTAATCCTTCAATGACTATCTCGAAAATAGTTAAAATTTAGTGATCTACAGTATATATACATACAGAGAGAGAATACAAGATCACATTTTCTTTATATTTTTAAATTCTTTAACAGGTCATTTTGTACAAACGGGCACAATAAGCAAAGGTTCAAGTCCAACGAGAATATACACTTTCCAGTCCGCGGTGAACAATGCCATATATTTAGGGGTCAGCGACGGTGTGACCTTCGGATTAACTGTAAGTTTTAATAAATATTTGAATAGTTAATGAATGGTTCATGAGTAAATGAGACTTTTTGCTACCAAATGTTTGTTTGTTTGTAAATGTAAGTGACATTAAAACTTAATTGTCTGTCTGGTGTAAGGGTGTAATTATCCGTCTGTCTGTCTGTCAGTCTTTTACAAAATCTTTTACTTTGGTAATAACTTCTGATATAGAAAATAACAACCTTTTTATATCTAGTGCGCGTTACCTATGACAAGAGCTTTCAAAATATCAGTAAAGATTTTTTTACCATATGACCTTGGATTTTGACCTACCCTAAAAAAAGCACACCCTTTGAATAAAAAAAAAATATACCAGTATACACTGTACATGAAGTATTTTTGAGTGAGAAATTGCAAAGCTTTCTTATTCCTGTAGTACATTACCTGTGAAAAGACCATTCAAACTGAATATGGCGTAACGATTGAATAAAAGATTAATTGATTGATACTACATGTACATGTATATTGTTTAACGTCCCTCTCGAGAATTTTTCACTCATATGGAGACGCCACCACTTGCCGGTGGAGAGCTGCAATTTTGTCCTATACTCGGCACTTAGGGCCATTGAGCAGGAAGGGATTTTTTCATGCTAGCACCTCCTGCGACATGGGACCTCAGTTTATACGATCTCATCCGAAGGACCAGTCTCCATGCCCCACAGTGGGATTCGAACCAGCGACGTAAGGATCAACTCCTTACTTCGCGACTCTGGAGCAGACGCTCTAACCACTGCGCCACGCGGGCAACATTGAATGAAAGAAAATAGGGCAGAATTTTTAAAGGATTTTACTATGAATTTTGACTTCATGGCCTTCAGGTTTTACCTCCTTTCTTCTCTTTTGAATGGAACTTTTATATTTTACATGTACAATATACGTCGCCCGTGTGCCACACAGAGCGTTATTGCCGTCTTCCTTGGAAGACGGTATTGTATAGTTGAAGTTTTTTACAGTCTTAAGACTATGCACTTCCTCTCTTTTGTGATTGGTAGAAATTGCATGATGAAAAAATTTTCAATTATTTCATTGGTTGAAATGCTGTTCAAGGCAACGGAGATAACTTTCTGATGAACTAATTTTCGTACGACTTAACAATTTTGCCAGATTTCCAATCTTAAAAAAATGACAAAACGAACAGCAAAATCAGCAGTAATTAATTCTTAATAACATGGTATTTTTTATAGCAATAAATGAATGTCTCTTTAATTTAATTATAAATAAAATTGGATTATAGCTTGCAGGCTTTACAATTTGTTATTATTCTTTTCCCCTTTCTTGTTTGATTGATTGATTGATTGTATACTGTTTAAAGTCCCTCCCAGAATATTTCACTGATATGGAGACGTCACCATTGCCGGTGAAGGGCTGCAAATTTGGGCCTATGCTCGGCACTCAGGGCCATTGAGCAAGGGATCTTTATCACACCTGCTGTGACACGGGGCCTTTTATACGGTCTCATCCGAAGGACCGCCCCATTTAGTCGCCTTTTACGACAAGCAAGGGGGTACTGAGGACCTATTCTAACCCGAATCCTCACGGGATTTCTTGTTTGAAGAAGGGAATGGAATCAACCGAGGTTTGCCGAAAGCTCTCGGTCAGTCAAAGTTTACGGAGATGACCGAGCGAAAACCGTGGTAGGGCTAATGCCAGTAACAAGCTAATGTAGAAATACAAAATTGAAAAGAATTATACGGCCTGATAGGTGTAGATCAGTTTACTGTTTAAGATTGTTGCTAAAGACGGTAAGCTTTTTAGAAAAGCTCTACTTATTTGCTCTAGAGTTGAAACGTAAGAACAGTCGCAGGTTTTCAAGAATCTCACAAAGGGACATGTAGACCATATGAGACCTTATAAACCGGGGTCCCGTGACCAAGTAGCTTTTGGAAAGCCTGGCATGGAAAATAAGCTTCACTCATTAATGAACCTGAATGACGAGTATAAATCTAAATTTGCAGCCCTCCACCTGCAAGTGGCGGCGTCCCAATATGAGTGGAAAGAACTTTCTCGAAAATATTCAAACAAACATGAACATTGTCTCCATCTTCCAGATTGTATATTCTTTATATCTAAGACAGGAGAACTATTTATATGCTTTGAAGCAAGATTACACCATTGTCGTCCTTTATAATATTGATTTCGTATATAATACTATACATTCCTTTGTAGAAATCTTTCTTCTGAAAACAAAAATAATTCCTTATATCAGTCCAATTAAACATGATTGTTTAAATTACATACACATGTAGTATATTTTCACAGCAAAATTAATTCCTCGAACATGCAGGTCATATTGCTTTAAATCTTCTTGCTGAACAGGCAAGAAAAAACAGACAAGACACACTTGTATTACAACCAATGTCTCCAAAAGCAGGAAACCTCAGTTTTCTGAATTTGCTTGTAGGATATCAATAGCACGGCGGATACAGATTTTATGAAGCGTTTGTGTGTTAGAAAACCGTACGAGAGGTTTCTCAAGCCAAACAAAGGTAAAATTTATCATGTAAATTATCATTAAAATGTTATATGAAGTTATATAATATGTATACGTTTATAAAATTAGTTTGTATGTATGATGGATGTTGATGTTCTAAATAAAGTGTATGCATAAGCGTCGGAACGGGGGCACTTTTTTATTGCAAAGATAGAAGTAATATAGGCATTGACTATTGGGGCGTAGGATTAGCTCCTCCCCCCCCATTCCCCCAACTTTCAACAAGCACGTTGCAGTTTAGGTCGAAAAAGGGTAGGTGGTATTTGGAAAAAAAATGGTACTGAAAGAAATTCGATCCTAACCCCCCACCCCACCCCACCACCAATTGGCAAATCAGATTTTCATGTTTTGATAATGGACACATTTCACTTTTTTTTTTTTGTTTGTCAAGGTTTTTTGTGGATTTGAATTTTTACACTTAGCCCCCCCCCCCCTTTTTCAATTTTCTTTCAACGCCAATGGTTGCATCTGTAACGTAATCATTAGGAATGTGTGTTGGGATTTAGGAACTGAAAACATGTAAGTTTGTTCTTCGTTTTTCTTTCAGATACGGTGGTCCTGTATAACAGTGACTCGGAGTTCGTGGTGGAGGAGGACAAGGTAGTCACGGACCCGGACCCCCTGCATGGTTACTGCTACTACTACGAGGGCCAAGGATTTGTGCAAATTGTTATTAGAAACAATGTGGTCTTTGTAGATTCGCTTGATAACTACCCTTTTTGAGATAAATTATGAAGAGGATTAGTCTTGACGTCAGTTTTGGAGAATGAATGATAATGTGTCACAAGTAACGCAAAATTGTGTTCAGAATAGTAACAAACTCTTTTTTTCGCAAAACGGTTGGAAGTATGATTTTTTTCAAATACTTAGTATTCCTGTACGATTAACTTTTTAAATATCACCATCCTTTGAATGGAAATTATTGGGTGAGAATATTGCTGATCAAACTGTAACTGTCTTTGATCATGACGTTTCCTCAACTCCAATATTATATTATATTATATGTGCATTAAATGATTAAAAAATATTATATTCCCATTTCATTGTGAAATAAAATTGTAAATTTAGACTTTAAAAATGCAGACATAGATTTAAATTACACGAAAATTCCCATTCCAATTTTAATAGTCCTCGCCCATTGACGTCAAACACAACGGCAGTCGCACAAGATTTTCATGCATATTAGGCCTCCTTAGCTCCTGACCTATTGACCTCCCTAATTTACATTCTAGTAGAATTATCAAGAAATTTACTCCGCTAAATTTCAAAGAGTTATCACAGAGAGAAAAATTAGAAATGGAAATATTATACTATATGTACATTATATGATTAAAAAAATATTATATAGAAAAAGCGCTTCAAAAGCAGGAGTTATACATGAATAAATTAATCACAGTACATGAATAGGGATGTCTGTCTGTCAGTCTGCCCGTCCTTCCTTCCGTCGTCCGTCTGTTACGCTTTGGGGTAACAATCTTCTATCCACAACACTTCTTATACCACTGATTAAAATTTAATGAAACTTCCACAGAATATTTGTTACATATCTAGTCATTGTGCATCTCATATTATATACTTTAGTTTTTGATCGGACGCATATTTTGGGCTTCCCATGGCAAAACATGGACACTACCTCCTTCTAGATATTAAAGGTACCCATCTCTTTCTGGGTTATACCAAAAAATTTATTGTATTTATTTTTTTCACATAAAAATGTGCACTTCCTATTCTTAATTTTTTATCTGTCACTTATTGCATGCTATCGGAAAAATGTGGACTTTGCCATAAAAACCATAGTTATCAGATTATATTTCCATTTCTAATTTTTTTTCTCTGTGATAACTATTAGAAAGTTGTCGGAGTTTATTTCGCAACGGAATTCTGCCGGAATGTTTCAGGTCGATAACGTCAGAGAAGAGTTTTGCCTAATACGCATAATCTCTCTCGTGCGCATTTTCATACGTTCTGACGCTAAGGAGGCCAAATATGCTTGTAAATCTCGTGCGGCTGCCTATGTGTTTGACGTCAGTGGCAGAACTTTCTCTCTGAAATTGGCATGGAAGTCCTCGTGTAATTTTTGTTTTGTCTACATTTTTTAAAGTCTAAATCTACTATTTATTTCACAATGAAATGATGAATTAGTGTAATAAATATAAATTTTGAAAAATATGCCAGGGAATAAGCCCCGGGGTTGAATATGGGGGGGGGGGGGGGGGGGGCTTCGCCCGTTATGCAAATTACCTGTGATTTCCCCTATCGAAAAATGTGGACTTTGCCATTATAACCATAGTTATCAGATTATAATTGCATGTCCTTCATATGTCACAAAAAGCTGTTTCAAAACGCAAAGAAGGTTTATCAAAATAAAACTGAATATTTTACAATTTATTACTTTAATGGACACTACATTCACAAATCAAAATAAAATTAAGATAAACAGTCTGAATTATAATAAGCATATTCTTAAATAACTTTAAGTATAACATTCGTATGTATTTGATTTGCTAAAAAACAAATTTTCATTAAAAGTTGTCATAATGTTCTACAAGAAGTTAAACTCTATCAGGGCATCATGTACTTTCGACACAGACTTAAAATAGTGTGCTTACAAGCATTCGCTGGTTAAAGTTAAAAGTCCTTCACGTCTCTCCGGTTAATATGTTTTTCCTTTGAATAAAAAGGAGAGGAGGTTAACTGATAAATACCTTTGATCTTAACACCCATAAAAATTTTATAACTTAAAAAAAAAATTATCAAACGATCTCCTAATTAAAAAAGAAAACAGAAAAAATGATTTGATTGAGAGAGGGGGGGAGAGAAAGAGAGATAACATATTGAACAAATGATCACTGAAAGAAAAAGAACTATTAACTTATAATAAAAATATATACATGTATTACAAACATAGGTAAAAAACTCTTTGTGTCTTTAAAGGGCAAATTAAGCCACACAAAACAAACAAAAAGTGTATAAAAATGCAAAATTTATGCCATTTTGATACTTGTAATTTCCTATATAAAAACTTAAAACTAGTTCTTTCAAAAATGTCATTCAAAGCATTTTGTAGATCATTCAGGAGTTTTCTCCCTAAAATGCATCATTTGTGCAACTTTGGTTTATATAAGCCTTATAAGTTTCAAATACACACATAAATCATTTTCTACTACCTGGAAAATGTATGTAAGGCTTTGAAGCAAGTCCATTAGTGTATATTTCATCAACAAGTTTGTTCAACTAGGTCAAAGTTAATATACAATGAAAATAAAAAAAATAACCTTTTCACTAATCCGGAAAATGTAGGTCAGACATTACAAAAGAAAAAATCGGTTGTAGTGTACCATCCATCTTTATGGTCATTAATACCCTCAACATATTTGTAATATACGTCCTGCAGCATTTGCCTTTAATTCCATAATTTAAAAGTTTACTCAGATTCAGTTTCTCCAAACAGTGTCAAACGCTTGCTTGAAATCTATAAAAGCACAAAAAAGTTTTTCATTATACTTCATCAGTGTGTTTGATAAAAAATTTTAACCTGTCAGAAAATGTAGTCAGATTCAGCATCCGTAGCAAGTCTTCTTATGCATCTAAAACCTCCATACAAGTTCTCTTTATATGTTCATAGTAACTTGGAAATGAAACCTGCACCAAAAACTTTAACCTGTTTATACTCGTAGAAAAGTTTGTCAGATTCAGCATCAATAAAGTAATAGTTACAAGCATTCACTGGTTAATGTTCATTATATGTCCTCCAGTATCTCTCCTGCACCAAAAACTTTTTCTTTTGAATAACCGGAAAATGGAGGTAAACTGATAAATACCTTTGATCTTAACACCCACAAAAATTTAATAACTCAAACGATCTCCTAATTAAAAAAACAAGAAAACAGAAAAAAAATGATTTGATTGAGAGAGGAAACACATTAGAGAGATCTTCATGCATGTCTAATCAATATAGGACATAGAAGTACTTAAAAGAAAACTATTAAAAAACTTAACCTAATAAAAATATATACATGTATTACAAAAATCCATAACATTAAAAATACTATTCAGTGTTTTTAGCTATTATGAGGTATAGAGGGAGGTTTTAATAGCCCTTGAGATCTCTCCTGTTTTAATGTTATTCCTCTGAAAAAATAAGAGGAAGATTACTGACCAGTACACTTTACTAAAACATCACTGACAATAAAAAATATTGTTAAACTAAAGAAAAAGGAAAATGATCTACTAATTACAAAAAAAATAAGAAAAAAGTTCTAAACTAAAAAAAAAAGGGGGAAAGTCAGAAAAAAATGTTCCTTTTTAGCTTACGAAGAAAGATAGAATATTATACCTTAAAGTATACCATAAATTGTGTAATTTTTGTGATTTATATGACTGATAGAACTGCACACAATATGCGACATAAATATTACCCTATACATGTATATGATTTAAAAATAAATACATTTTATAAAAATAAAACAAAACATGCTTGCTAAAAAAAATTGTACAAGGGTGACTTCTTTTGATAAAAAAATTAAACTATTCAATGTTTCTAGCTACAATGAGGTATAGAGGGAGGTTTTAATAGCCCTTGAGATCTCTGCTGGTATGTTATTCCCCTTAAAAATAAAGAATACGATTGCTGGTCAGTACACTTTCATTAAACATCACTGACAGTAAAAGAAAATACTGCTAACTTAAATTAAAGAGAAAGTAAAAGATCTACTCATCATAAAAAAAAATTAAAAAAAGAAGTAAAAAAGAAGGCTTCAATGAAAAAAAAAATGAAGTATTAAGAGAAAGAAAGAAAATAGATAGAATACTTAACAAGAGATCCTTGAAAAGAGGAACAATTAACAAAGATATGAGATTTACAAAAAAAAAATAACTTTAAAGAAGGGAAAGTCAGAAGAAAAAAGAAATTGTTTCTTTTAGCTGTAGAAAAAAAAAACAATTATGAGAGAAAGGAAGAAGAAAGATAGAATATTGTATTTTTAAAAAAAATACCATAAATTGGGTAATTTCTGTGCTTTTTATGACTGAAATACGTGGCGAAATATGTGGCGCAGTGATTAGAGCGTATGCTCTATAGAGTCACAAAGTAAGGAGTTGATCCTTATATCGCTGGTTTGAAGCCCTCTGTGGGACATGGAGACCGGTCCTTCGGATAAGACCAAGAGGGACGTTAAACAACATACAATTAACCAATCCATAAATGTAGCTCTTGATTAATGTGACCAGTCTACCTGGAACGCTTGCTCCCTCCTTGGCACCTGATCCCACCCCTGTTATTTCTTGTGATCCATGTTTTACACCCTGTTTATAGAGTTGTATGGTTTATAGTCTTCTTTTGTTTTGGATCAATCACTGTTCATTATCTTCTCAATTTTCATTTACTCAGTATTTTAGAATTTTGCAGTTTTTAAACACTGCAAACAATATGAGACACAAATATTACCCAATATATGGTAAATAAATACTTTAGATTTTACATTTAATAATAATTGCAAAAATTATGCCCGCTATAAAAAAATATAAACAAGCAAGGGTGACTTCTTTTGTTTAATAAAATTTCAAACTACCGGTATTCAATGTTCCTAGCTATAATAAGGTATAGAGGGAGGTTTTGATAGCATTGAGATCTCTCCTGTTTGGTTATTCCTCTGAAAAAAACGAGAGGATAATTAATGATCAGTACACTTAACTAAAACATCACTAACAGCAAAAAAAAAGTTGTTAAATTAAAGAGAAAGTTAAAAAAAAAAGATAATTATAAAAAAAAAAAAAAAAAAAAAAAAGGAAGAAGTAAAAAAGATGGCTTCAATGAAAAAAAAAATTTAAAAAAGAGAAAGAAAGAAAAAAGATAGAATATTTACCAAAAGGTCTCTGAAAAAGAGGGGATGATTACTATCGATTATTATATATATATATATTTTTAAAAAAACCTTCGATTTATTTTTTAAAAAAAAGGGGGGGGGGGGCAGAAGAAAACAACGAATTGCTTCTTTTAGCTTTAGGGAAAAAACACAATTATGAGAGAGAGAA